TTAGTGGGAATGTATGGCTACATTTTAAACAAGAACAGCATATAAGATCCTGTGCCAGGGTTAAACATTTGAGACCAACAATAGGTTTTTTTTTTAACATCAACAAACAATAATTTGTAAACAAGAACAACACATAAAATCCTGTACCAGTGTGAAACATTTTGAGAACAGCAATAGGTTTTTTTTTTTAAACAATAACCAACAATGATTTGTAACCAGCCCCTATAAATGATGACAGATACTTATAAAGCATAGGATCTGAAAGAGTTCTTCACCTGTGGAACCAAGCCTTGGTCAGCTTTGACCGAAGGTTTGAGGCATGCAGCTCCCAGGGCAGGTAGAGGGAACTTGTCCATCAGCATGAGGGGGCAGGGTGGTATACAGCACTGGGGAAAAAAGATTGTTAACCTCTTTAGGCCATAGTGATTACCTTCAGATTTTTTGTTTAGTGTTTGAAATCCTATTGGGGTATATCTGCCTTCTACAACTGTGTCTGCCAGGCTCAATACCTTTTAACAGCAAAGCTGAATAGCCCAGCCATCCATATAAGCATGCTGCCCCACAGCCATGTGCTTGGGGCCGAGGCTGACTTTTTTTTTTTTTAATGAAATATACCCCTATGCTTATGGCCCTATCTCTAAAATCTTGTAAGTGTTCACAATATCAAAGTTAAAGAAGTCATGATTTGAGTACGTCAGCATCAGTCTAAGTCAGGACAAAAGCACAACACACATTTGACAGACATACAGGACAAAGGCACCAAACAAACCAAAGATTTCAAGCTGTTTCGCGGGTGTGACCCACCCCACTTTCAAAATGAGTCTGCTATCCATGCATGTCTCTACAGAGAACTGACCTCAGCACTCATGTGTCATACCACAGAACTGAGAAACGGCACTCGCGTATCTCACCAGAGAACTGAACACACTATCTGCGTGAAAGACAAAACAGAGACCGAAGTTATACAGACAAAGGCTAACAAAACTTAGAAAGACACAAACACTGATCCAGGGTCAACGTCACAGTTTGTCCCAATCGTCAAAGTTATAAATAAGACAAAACAAAAGACTGAAGACACACAAGACACGCAAACAAATGTCTGTCTCCACCTAGACAGACAAAACCATTCCAGAAATACAGACGGCTGAGAGGACATAGTTCCTCCAAACCAGGAGAACTTCCATATCCTCACCAGCACCCAGAAGGGAATCTCCCAGGCATCCCTGGGTCCCTTCTCACCTCCTGGGACGTCTCCCAGGGGGCAGTTGGTGATCTAGCATGTCTGCTGATCACTCCCTCTGTGTCCTCCCGACACACGAGCAACTGCAAAACCGAAAATACAGAAACTGAACCTGAACTTGAATTTCTTGGTGTTTGCAGCGTCTAACCAGAGTGTCAGTCATTTCAGTCATGGCAAGTTCTACATCTGTCACCACAAAGCTAAGACCTTCGCTAACCTCTTTTATTGTTGTGACATTTTCCCTATTAAAAAAAATCCAGCCTGGAGACACGGCTCCATGGATAAGGGCACAGGCTGCCAGAGTGTGCACGTTCAATACCAACACTCACAGAGTAGCTCACAACTGTCTGTAACTTTAGTTCCAGGGGATCTGATGCCCTCTTCTGGCCTCTGCGGGCACCAGGCACACAAGGGGTACCCAGACACACATGCAGAAAAATACTCATACACATAACAAAATAAAATAAATATTCACTCACAAAAACACATATATGATAACACAAAACGCTGTCACCAGGTCATTACTTCCTTTCTTTGCAAACAAGGAGCCGGCAGCTGTGTGAAACAGCAGGTCACCTCTTAACCCCATGTGATGCTACTGTGCCAAAGAGCAAAACAATCCAACGTCCCCTTGTGCAAATTGATGCAGTCATTCTCTAAAGCTCGTGGGAGTCCCTCAGAACATTAGAAATGCCATGTGACACAGGTATTTCACTGGGCATATACCCAGAGATCCTGTACCCGCAATAGAGATATTTGTACCCTCATGAATACTGCTGCTCTATTCAATATTCAAGAAGATGGAGCCAATCTAGATGTCAATCAACAGATAAATGCATAATGCCAGTCTAGTGCATATACCAAATGAAATATTATTCATCTCTAGGGAAAAATGAAACCACAAAATTTAAGGAAAGTTGGTAGACTTAGAATGTAAAATTAAGTGAGATCACTCAATATCAGGAAAAAAAAAACCTTCTTTTTTTTTTTTTTTTTTTCGAGACATGGTTTCTTTGCAGCTTTGGTGCCCGTCCCGCAACTAGCTCTTGTAGACCAGGCTGGCCTCGATCTCACAGAGATCTGTTGAAGTAGGAGCGGCGGGGCTGTATCTCCGGCACCCGGCCGCCCACATGGCTTGCTTAGCTTATGCCTCAAAATAATTACACGGAAACTGTATTCTTTTAAACACCGCTTGGCCCATTTCTATCTAGCCTCTTCTACGCTAATTCTCGCACCTGGACTAGCCCATTTCTAGTGTAGCCCATGAGGTGGCTTACCCGGGAGATTCTAGCCTAAGTCCATCCTGGGTCGGAGCTGAACCGCGTCTGCCAGGGAGAGCGGAGCATGGCGTCTCTGTCTGAGGCGTCTTACCTCACTTCCTCTTCCGCCCAGCCTTCTGTTCTGTTTACTCCACCCACCTATGTTCTAAGCTATGAGCCCAAGCAGTTTGTTTATTACTTAACCAATGAAATCAACTGATTGATATGACACTCCCACATCAGAGATCCACCTGCCTCTGCCTCCCAAGTGCTGGGATTAAAGACGTGTGCCACCACCGCCCGGACCCCATGTTCTTTCTTGTATGTGGATCCTAGCCTATGATGTATGCATGTACACAGTAATTAAATATGCTGAGGTACAGTGCAACATTGAGGAAGGAGAACATGAAATTTTAAAGAGACAAAACACTCCCTGATGAGTTCACATACATGCTGTTCTTTGTGGGTCCTCTGAATGCGCTCCCAACATGTGCATGGTTTAGATGTAAAACAGGCCCTTAACAAGCAATATCCACATGTGCTCTATGCTGCCACCTTACTGGGAGGACCATGTTTGAAGGTATGGTTTTCATCCTTTAAATGTCTCTGTACAGTGCAATTCTTACAAGTACTGCCAACTTAGGTGCATTGTTCTCTAAACAATAATTCTAGCTATAAAAGCTGTAGAGAGTGAAGGCTGTCCAAAGTATGCTTACATCATCATAATCAGGGAATTTTTGAGAACTCCTGAAAATGATGACTTAATGGCCATGAATCTTGAAAATTAACACACCAGGAATTATCAAAACCAAGAAGCTGCTGGCACGATTTGGTTTGCTTTGATTTTCATTTTTTTTTTTTTATTTTCGAGACAGGGTTTCTCCATACCTTTTTGGTTCCTGTCCTGGAACTAGCTCTTGTAGACCAGGCTGGCCTCGAACTCCAAGAGATCCGCCCGCCTCTGCCTCCCGAGTGCTAGGATTAAAGGCGTGCGCCGCCACAGCCCGGCCTTCATTATATTTTATGTTATAGTTCTAAAGTGTAGTTTTCTGAATGGATGAATCTTCTTCCCTTTCAAACTTAAAGGTCATAACAAAGCTATTTTAGAGTGAGCTAAGGACTTGGATATTCGGGTCCCTGAACGAGAAGTACAAAAAGCCAATGAACATCTGGGAAAAGGGGTTCAACCATCAGCCTTCAGGGAACTGCAGTTCAAAGTGGCAGTGAGCCTCACCTCAGCTGTTATAGTCTCGAACAAAAGTCTAAGTATGTCCTCAAAGGCAGCTGCACACTGGGACCTTCCCTGGGAAACTTGGTGCCCAGCTCCACTACAGCCTTTGGAGCTTGGCCACCATCCTTGTGACAGCACAGACATGAGCTGCAGGTCCCCTCATGGACACCAGGGGGCGACAAGAAAGCTCCCTGAGGCCTGAACAAGTCTTGCAGCTTTGTCTCCATCAGGATTACAAGGGACCTGGAGCTCCATCACATAATCATTTCCTGTGTCTCTGAGAACCCAACTCTACAAGGAGACCCTGTGTAGTCCCCTCCCCCTCACTACACCCATGAGGAAAGATGGGGAGATCACAGGGCAGTCACCAAGGAGAACAAAGGCATCCCAGAAGGGTTAGGGAGGGCATGGGCAGACCTGAATCACATTTGGTCAGCACAGGGAGCTGGGGGGAGGGGTGTCTCCTGGGGTTCTCCATAGGGAGCTGGAACACAAAGTCCTCTTTCTAGTACACAGGTCACCTCCTCCTGCATGTCAGGATGTGAACCCCTGAGATAACTTGTATTCCTGGATGGGACACCTGACTGGTGACAGCAGTGACCTTGAATCTGGGCCCTTCCCAGTTGTCACTCAGACCTTTTCTTGCTCCTAGAGATTACTGCAACTCTCTCCAGGGAGTAACTCCCACTTTCCCAGAGCATTGAGGTCACTGAGCAGACTGGGCTCTGCTGGGATTTCCTGTCACAAGGAAATATACTCTTGACTATATAAAGTGCAGGGAAATGTCCTGGGTTGAGCTGCTGTTCTCTTGGCACTCAGGACATTTCTGAACCTTGTGTCTCAAAGTTCTAGAACACTGAACCAGAAAGAAAGGAATAAGGCCGGGCTGTTGTGGCACACACCTTTTATCCCAGTACTTGGGAGGCAGAGGCAGGTGGATCTCTGTGAGTTCAAGGCCAGCCTGGCTACAAGAGCTAGTTCCAGCACAGACTCCAAAAGCCACAGAGAAACTCTGTCTTGACAAACCAAAAGAGAGAGAGAGAGAGAGAGAGAGAGAGAGAGAGAGAGATAAAGGAACAGAAGGATCAGAGGCAGACTGATACCCCGACTCCACCCCCAGCCCATGTGACTCCAGGAGGTGTCATTTTTTTGGGAGGAGGCTCAGGTCTTGGAATAAAAGCCGAAAAAGACACCAGAGCAGCCACACTTGGCAGCAGCCTGAGAGGCAAACCTCCTGTCCAGAGGAAGAGCCTAGGCTACAACAGAGACCATGGAGCTCTCCTCAGCCCCTCTCCACAAAGGGCAGCTACCCTGTAGGGGACTCCTGCTGGCAGGTGAGGAGACATTCCTCAGGGGTGTGGTAGCAGGGGAGCTCAGAGACTGGATGGGGTCTTCTGGGAGGGGGACTCTGCCTGAGAGGAGACATCTGGCTTCTGCTTGAAGCCTGAGAGCAACAGAAAGCTCACAGTGAATGTGAATTGGTAAGTGGGGAGGAAAACTCAGGGGTTCCCACTGCAAGGGGGTACTGGCCTCTGTACCCTGAAGACTGACTCCCACAACTGTGTCAGGGTGACTCTCCAAGTAAAACTCAAACTGGGGCCAGTAAACAGGGTCATTTCATATATACGACCCTGCACATAAACCCCAGGCTCTGGGACAGTGATTTGCCCACAGGTGTCTGAGCCTGTTCCAGGCAGTGGGGTTTAAACCCAAATCAAACCAGTTCTCCTCACAGAGTCCTGGGCAGGAAGACAGAGCAGCAAGGATATCTAGAAGGTGGGGTTGTGGTTTACAAGGACTTCAGAAGAAACAGAGCTGGGAAGGTCAGAAAATGAAGGCTTTAGAGGAGGTCAGAGAAGACATGCCTACACTCACCAAAGATTCTGAGTGTGAGTAGGGATCTGAAGGAGTAAGGGGTTGGCTGTGCAGACACCCGAGAAAAGTTTCATTCAGTGGAAAGATTCAGGGGTACTGAGGAATGGGGATGATGCTGCTGAGCTCCACCCAATAGGACACACACACCATGGCTGAGAGTTGAACACGCTCAGGTCTCAATTTCTACCAAATGCAAAGATCTAATATTGATAGTTTTTCTCTCTTCCCTCTTAGCCTCACTTTTGATCTACTGGAGCTCTCCCACCACAGCCCAAGTCACTGTGGAAGCAGTTCCGCCCCATGTTGCTGAAGGGGCAAATGTTCTTCTACTTGTCCACAATCTGCCAGAGACACCCCAAGTCTTTTACTGGAACAAGGGAGAAAATCCGGATAACAGTAACGAAATTACACGATTTATAACGTCAGATAATGTAAATAAAACAGGGCCTGCATACAGTGGCAGAGAGACAATATACCCCAATGGATCCCTGCTCTTCCAGAACATCACTCAGAAAGACACTGGAGCCTACACGTTCCAAATGATAACGCAAAGCTATTATTTTATTACAAGATCCGTGCAGTTCCATGTTCACCGTAAGTAATTCTCTGTAACCTCAGGGTCGTGGGTGGAGCTAATCCTACTTCACACATAGAATTGTCAGTGCTGGATGACTGTGTTATGGTCCCCACATTGTGGCTCAAGCATTTAGTAAAGAACACGGAGTGGAGGAAACAGCAATAAATCAGGATCCCTCACTTGAATCCACCCTCAGAGAGAGGGGCTGAGGTAACTCAGGCCAGGAATGTCAGACTCTGCCCAGGGTCTTAGATGCTCCTCATGAACATGGCCTTGAGAAAGACCCTTCAGGACTCAGGCAGGGCCTGACTGAGAAAACCATGAGATTTTCACAGAGACATGAACACCAGGTTTGTTTCAGACCTCCTTCCCAGACTGGACCAGGAATGCTGAGAAGCTTATAGACTGGGCTGTAATTTGACCTCCTGTTGGAGCTGACAGGGGACAATGATGGATTGTAGGCTGGTAGCCTGCTCACCGTCAGCCTGTGAGAGCCATGTCTGAGGCAGGTCACCTGGGCATCTCCTCCTGAGACTCAGTGTGCTCAGCATAGGTGGAGGGGTATGAAAGACAACCAGCCAGCTGTCCTGATGGTCTTCTGAGACCTTGCAGGAAGGTGGAGAGCCCTAAAGAGATGGGAGAAAAGTGTACAAATGGCAGCTCCCTGCCTCTGGGGGTCCAGCCCTGGGATTATTTCCTGCAGGCAAATAGTAAGAGACTGCAAATAGTAAGAGTGGAAGGTTAGGTCATTGCTCAACTTTCAGATGAACTTGTAGGCATGGCAACAATCATTGTCCTATTCTAGGGAAACTGAGACAGGAAACAGTCACTGAGTCAGGGTCACACAGGCCATGGGTGGCACAAGCTATCTGTCCACAGTCACATCTCCTGCCTCCCCACCATGGAGACTCTGTTAGGTACCCCTGAGGGTTATAGATCATTTCCTAGACTTGGGCTTCTTTTAAGGTTCCCTGATTCATGTCAGTCAACATCAAACTCCTGACAAGAATGGCCCAGCTGAAGCCCAGCCTGTCCTGAGACTAACCAGATCCTGATCTGTGTGGGGTCTCTGAAGGGCTGTCAGGTTCTCAGGGAACTCAATGGGAAGACTAATCATGACCTATCTGTAGGAGAGCCCTGAGCAGCAAAGGCTTGGAGGGCACTGGTCCTCACTGAGCAGTGGAGGTCAGTGCAGCTGGAGGGACTCACACATAGTGTCCCAAGACATGCAATGGTGTCAGTGAGGACCAGGAGATAACATGAGGTCTCTGATTCCAAGTCTTGAGTCTGTCCATCACCACACACTGCAGCTCAATTCCCTTCTGGGAAAGCCCTTGCTTCTCCTATACACAGCACAGAGGCCCCATTGTCTCTGAGAGCTCAGCTATTCCATCTGCCTGTAATTTGCTTCTTGCCTGATTCTTTGAGGATCTGGGTTTGTGGGGAGATAGGAGACAATCTCTGTTGAAAGAGGCCCTTGCAAGAATCAGAGGCACCACACAACACAACCTTCTCTCTGTTGTCCGCACACACAGCACGGCTACCCAAGCCCAAAATCACAAGCAACAATTCCAATCCCATGGAGGGTGACGACTCAGTAGCATTAATGTGTGATCCAAAGACTGAGAATACAAGCTACCTGTGGAGGAGAAATGGCCAAAGCCTCTCAGAAGGTGACAGGCTGAAGCTGTCTAAGGGCAACAGGACTCTCACTTTACTCAGTGTTGTGAGGAATGACACAGGAGATTATGAGTGTGAAACCCGGAACCCAGTGAGCACCTCCCGAAGTGACCCATTCACTCTGAACATTACCTGTGAGTATTGTCTGCTTCACCCTGGCTACATCTTTCTATACAAAAGGTTAGAGCTAGGACACTCAGTCCCCTTGGGTTGGTGACACAGACCCACTACACAGATACCTAGGCTGGCCAGGACTTCCTGGCCCATCACAAGAACATGCAGCCAGGCCCAGCATTGAGCTGGAATGGGTTTGAGGCTCAGGGTGATGGGGACAGGCTCAGGTTCAGTGCACACCCGCGTGTGCAGTGGGATGTTGGTGCTTGAGATGGATCAGGGCTTGTGACTGCTGCATGAATACTCTTCTATTGATCTGCACCTCAGCTGCAGTTATAGCACAGCTCAGAGAGATACTATGTTCTTCTGCAGACCAAGATTCCCCTTCGCTCTGCCGACATCACATGTGCCTTTATTCTGTTTGCTCCAGATGGTCCAGACATCCCGATCATATCCCCCTCAAATACTTATTTTCGTTCAAGGACAAACCTCAGTCTCTCCTGCCATTCAGCTGCTAACCCACCCGCACTGTACTCTTGGTTTGTCAATGGAGAGTTCCTGTCAACCTCCCAAGAGCTCTTTATCCCCAACATCACTACTAATGATAGTGGAACCTATACCTGCTTCGTCTATAAATCTATCACTCGCCTCAATAGGACCACAGTCAAGAATATTAAAGTCCTTGGTAAGTGGATCTCTAAAATATCAGCGACAGGTTTGTAGTGGAGTCTTTTGGCTTTCTGGTAAGATGCAGCAGAATTTAATTTCCAGCCCATGTCTAGGGAACAAGCAAAACTCCATTTTTTCCTGAGTGTCCTGCTTCATCCCTATGCTGATCTTCTCAGGATGCTATGACTCCTCCTGTCTGATAGGGTTGGAGCTTGGAGTGTGAGGAGGAGCTTCTCCCAGCCTTGAAAACCTCAGGTTGTGGGAGGGACTTCCTAGGGGAGTGAGAGCCTTAATGTCAAGATTTCTTTCTGTCACTAACACAGCCTTTCTGTCTCCTCCATTTTCCTCTTATGACCTCCACAACTTAGAGGAACATTCAGGGCTTTACTATGTTCACTTCTTTTTCCCTAATGTGAGAAGAAAACTCCCTCCCCACAGATGGGGATCAGCAGTTCAGAGCTCTGCTCCCAGTTCTGATTCTGTCTCAGGGGTGATTGGCTGAGCTCTAACTCCATTGGAGAAGAAGAGAGGGTGGAAAAGGCACCTGGGACCCTGGTTTTGACTCAGGGTAAACCATGTCATTGACGACTTGATGATACCCTCTCTCCCTTACTCTTCTCAAGGTTTATAAACAAAAGTATGGACTTCCCACAGGGCAGGGAACACTTACTGCTCTTAGGACTGGATAGACAGGGGAGAGGGAGTGGGAAGAGTAGGAGGGAAATGGGAGGAGGGGAGGAGGTGAAAATTTTTAATGAATAAATAAATAAATAAACTAAAAAAAATCCAAAAACAAATGTCGGCCAATTGTGCTGCTTTGTGCCTTTAAGTTCAGCACTAAGGAGGGAGAGGCAGGAAGATAGTGTGAGTTTGAGCCAAGTCTGGTCTACATGGCAAGGTCTAGGCTAGCCAAAACTGTACAGTGTGACCCTGTCTGAAAACAAAAAAGCAAAAAACAAAACAAAATGCAAAACAGGTATGGCAGATTAGAGTGGCAGACTGTGGTCAACTCAGTGGTCATTCACGTCTTCTCTGTGGTATTTAATCCATCTCCATGTAGCAGGACATAAATTTCTCTTCAAACAGAAATTCTTTACTTTGGGATTTCTCCAAGTCCTGAATTCTAGGAGTTAACACCTTTAAGATTAGCTGGGCTATCCTAACCCCATAACAAATAAATTATTTAATAAAAAAAACCGAGAAAGCTATTTTCTAATGCAGGGACCTGACTGTTCACACTCACAGAAAGAGTGTGCAAGAATTTGCACAAAAATCAATGGAAAAAACATTCTCCCCATTACTGGGTCTATGGGGGTCACGTAATAATTGCGGACAAACCCCCAAGGTCTATTACACCAGAAGCAAACTTTATTCCAGGAAAACATTAAAAAAATAAATTTCCATGGGGCACAAAAAGTTTATCAGAGAAGGACTTGTAAGGCTGTGGCAAAACACAGTTTCCAAACTCTCCCTTTATATAGCAAGAAGCAACAAGCATTAGGAAAGAACAAAGGAATTTTTACAATCTCGAGGTAAAACTCAGATACAAATTCTTCTTTAAAAAAAATTTTCATTGACCATGTTTTTCAGTTGAACTGGTGTTAGTGTTTAGTCCATCCTTCTCTCTGGCACTGGCTGATGGTGTTTACCAAAGCTCTGCACTCCCCTTACACTTCCCGTGTCGCATAGCAGGCGAGGAATGGGAAAACGCACAACCAAAAAGTCACATACATGCCATCATTTAAACGTAAACTCAGCTCACTTCATTTGCTGATCCTGAGTGGCCAGGGGTCATGAAGGCTGAACGTCAGCTTACAGAGGTTCCTCAGTTTGAAGAGGGTCACTTCAGTCTTGCAGATAGAGCTATGGATTCTATAGCAAAGTGACCAATGTTAACAGTTAATTCTTAAGGTGCTGAGAAAGCTGCTGATAGCCTGCTCTCATTCTCCTAGGATTACAACTTTATATTTCCTTATTTCTGCATTCTTATTTCTGGAACCTACATTTCTATATTCTTATTGTTGGACTCTTCACCAATCCCCCTCAGGGTCTCTGGACACGTGGGGTGAGTGGCCTCCTAGTGTGGAATCTACACGTATACCCTGAGTCCGGGGTCACTATGGGTGATCTGGGTAGAGGAAGATTCTGCTCTTTCCTGAGAGACCATATCTTACACCAAACATGAGATCTTGTGTCATTCTGTGTGAGCTGGCTGAGATCTCTGAGGGTAAACGACTCTCACTTGGTCCCCTCCACTGTTTATCCACAGAGCCAGTGACTACACCCTCCATCAAGGCCACCAAATCTGAAGTCAAAGAACGAGACTCTGTGCACCTGACCTGCGACTTCAACTCCAGTGACTCTACAATTGCCTACCGCTGGTTCCACAATGGCAAGGGAATGGAATTCACAGACAGGGTTTTCTTAATTCAAAACAGACTCCTCTCCATATCGCACGCCAGGAAGGAGGATTCTGGGGCGTATCAGTGTGAGATATACAATGCAGTCAGTTCCAAGAGGAGTGACCCATTCCAGTTGAACTTAAGACGTGAGTGACCTCCCCTCCATTCTTACTTCATAGTGTTGGGAGTGGGGCAATTTTTTATCAGCAATGTGCAAAATGTGTAAAATTCACCAGGAGAAAAACATGGCTCAAGATACAAACACAGCCAGCTTGGTGGTGGATGCATGTTAATCTCATGATAAAATAACGTGTAAGCTGAGCACGGTGCTGCGTGCCTTTAACCCCAGCCATCACACCAGAGCTAGAGACAGGTGATTGTCTATGAGTTCCCAACCTCCCTGGTCTTTGATTAGCAGCACCGGCCACTGTATGCTGAAGACTGACGTTCCCACTATGTTAGGGTGACTCTGCAAGTAAAACCCAGACTGGGGCCATTAAGCAACATCATGACATATGACCCTGAGGAATCCACAAGTAAACCCCAGGCTCTGGGACACTAATTTGCTCACAGGTATCTGAGCCTGTTTCAGGTAGTGGGCTTTAAACCAAAATCAAATTATTCCTCCTCACAGAGTCCTGGGCAGGAAGACAGAGGAGCAAGGACATCTAGAAGGTGGGGCTGGGACTGACAAGCACTTCAGAAGAAACAGAGCTGGGAAGGCAAGAAAATGAATGCTTGGAGTCTTTAGAGAAGGAGGTCAAAGAAGACATGCCTACACTCACCAAAGATTCTGAGTGTGAGCAGGGATCTGAGGGAGTTAGGGGTGAGCTGTGTGGACACCTAAGAAGAGAGTTTCGTTCACTGGAAAGATTCAGGAGTACAGAGGAATGGGGGTGATGCCCCAGACCTTTCTGCAACAGGACACACACACACCATGGCTGAGAGTTGAACACGCTCAGGTCTCAATTTCTACCAAATGCAAAGATCTAATATTGATCGGTTTTTTTCTTCTTCCCTCTTAGCCTCACTTTTGATCTACATGAGCTCTCCCACCATGGCCCAAGTCACTGTGGAAGCAGTTCCGCCCCACGTTGCTGAAGGGGCAAATGTTCTTCTACTTGTCCACAATCTGCCAGAGACACTCCAAGTCTTTTCCTGGTACAAGGGAGAAAATGTGGATGAGAAAAAGGAGATTGTAAAATTTGTAAAACCCGGAGAAACATATAAAAGAGGGCCTGCATACAGTGGCAGAGTAAAAATATACCTCAATGGATCTCTGCTCTTACTCAATGTCGCTCAGAAAGATGCAGTACCCTACATGCTACATATGAAAATGGGAAACCTTGACGCTAGAAATGCATCTGTGAAGTTCCATGTACACCGTAAGTAACCTCTGGGTCGTTGTAGACCTAATCCTACTTCACTCATAGAATTGTCAGTCCTGGATGACTTGTTATGGTCCCCGCATTGTGGTTCAAACATTTAGAAAAGGCCACAGAATGGAGGAAACAGAAATAAATCAGGATCGGTAACTAGAATCTACCCTCTGAGAGAGAAGGTGAGGTAACTCAGCCCAGGCATGTCAGACTCTGCCCAGGGTCTTAGATGCTCCTCATGAACATGGCCTCGAGAAAGATCCTTCAGGACTCAGGCAGGGCCTGGCTGAGAAAACCATGAGATTTTCACAGAGAAATGAACACCCAAAGCTTTGCTTCAGACCTCCATCCCAGACTGGACCAGGAATTCTGGGATCTCAAAGATGGGGTTGGAATTTGACCTCCTGTTGGAGCTGACAGGAGACAATGATTGATTGCAGGCTGGTAGCCTGCTCACCGTCAGCCTGTGAGAGCCATGTCTGAGACAGGTCACCTGGGCATCTCCTCCTGAGACTCAGTGTGCTCAGCATAGGTGGAGGGGTATGAAAGACAACCAGCCAGCTGTCCTGATGGTCTTCTGAGACCTTGCAGGAAGGTGGAGAGCCCTAAAGAGATGGGAGAAAAGTGTACAAATGGCAACTCCTTGCCTCTGGGGGTCCAGCCCTGGAATTATTTCCTGCAGGCAAATAGTAAGAGATACTGCTTGGTGGAAAGTCAGTCCATTGCTCACCTTTCAGGTTAACTTGCAAGCAACGATCATTTACTCTGTGCCCTATTCTAGGGAAACTGAGACAGGAAACACAGTCACTAAGTCAGGGTCACACAGGCCACGGGTGGCACAAGGTATCTGTCAACAGCCACATCTCCTGCCTCCCCACCATGGAGACTCTTTTAGGTGCCCCTGAGTCTTATAGATCATTTCCTAGACTTGGGCTTCTTTTATGATTCCCTGATTCCTGTCAGTCAACATCAAACTCCTGACAAGAATGGCCCAGCTGAAGCCCAGCCTGACCTGAGTGCTAACCAGATTCAGGTTGGTGTGAGATCTCTGACGGGCTGTTAGGTTCTCAGGGAACTCAATGGGAAGACTAATCATGACCTATCTGTAGGAGAGCCCTGGGCAGCAAAGGCTTGGAGGGTGCTGGTCCTCACTGAGCAGTGGAGGTCAGGGCAGCTGGAGCGACTCACACATAGTGTCCCAAGACATGCAATGTGTCAATGAGGACCAGGAGATAACATGAGGTCTCTGATTCCAAGTCTCTAGTCTGTCCATCACCACACACTGCAGCTCAGTTCCCTACTGGGAAAGCCCTTGCTTCTCCCAAACACAGCACAGGAGGCCCCATTGTCTCTGAGAGCTCAGCTACTCCATCTGTAATTTGTTTCTTGCCTGATTCTTTGAGGTTCTGGGTTGGAAGGGAGATTGGAGACTAGCTCTGTTTAAAGAGGCCCTTGCAAGAATCAGAGGCACCAAACAGGGCAAAATTCCTTCTCTTGTCTGCACATAGCACTGCTACCCAAGCCCAAAATCACAAGCAACAATTCCAATCCCATGGAAGGCGAGGACTCAGTAGCATTAATGTGTGAGCCTGAGACTGAGAATACAAACTACCTGTGGAGGAGAAATGGCCAAAGCCTCTCAGAAGGTGACAGGCTGAAGCTGTCTGAGGACAACAGGACTCTCACTTTACTCAGTGTTGTGAGGAATGACACAGGAGATTATGAGTGTGAAACCCGGAACCCAGTGAGCACCTCCCGAAGTTATCCATTCCATCTGGAAATTACCTGTGAGTATTATCTGTTTTATAATTTTTACAGATGCCTAAATACCGACAGTTTGAGCTAGGACACTCTGTCCCCTTGGGTTGGTGACACAGATCTACCACACAGATCCCTAGGCTGAACAGGGCCTCCTGGCCCAGTCCAGGTACATGCAGCCAGGCCCAGAATTGAGCTGGAATGGGCTGGAGGGACTTCTCCTACCTAGAGAGACTCAGGGTGATGGAGACAGGGGACAGATCAGTCTCAGGCTCAGTGCACACGTGAGTGTGAAGTGGGTATGTTCCTGTGCTTTGATCGAGATGGATCAGGATTTGTGCCTGCTGCATGAATACTCCTCTTCTAATCGGCACCACAGCTCTTGGAACTTGCTCAGCTGAAGTTATAGCACAGCTCAGAGAGATACTATGGCCTTCTGCAGACCAGTATGGCCCTTCCCTCTGCTGACATCACATGTGCCTTTGTTGTGTTTGTTCCAGATGGTCCAGACATCCCTATCATATCCCCCTCAAATACTCATTTTCGTTCAAGGACAAACCTCAGTCTCTCCTGCCATTCAGCTGCTCTCCCACCCACGCTGTACTCTTGGTTTGTCAATGGAGAGCTAGTGTCATCCTCCCAAGAGCTCTTTATCCCCAACATCACTACTAATAACAGTGGATCCTATACCTGCCTCATCCATTACTTTGTCACTGGCCTCAATAAGACCAGAGTCAAGAACATTGAAGTCCTTGGTAAGTGGATCTCTGGAATATCAGTGCCAGATTTAGAGTTTTTTGACTTTCTGGTAAGATGCAGCAGAATTTAATTTCCAGCCCATGTCTAGGGAACAAGCAAAACTCCACTCTCTCCTGAGCGTGCTTCATCCCTATGCTGATCTTCTCAGGATGCTCTGACTTCTGGCTGATAGGGATGGAGCTTGGAATGTGAGGAGGAGCTTCTCCCAGCCTTGGAAACCTCAGGTTGTGGGAGGGACTTCCTAGAGGAGGGAGAGCCTTAAGGTCAAGATTTCTTTCTGTCACTAACACAGCCTTCCTGTCCCCTCCATTTTCTTCTTATGACCTCCATGGCTTAGAGGGACATCCAGGGCTTTACTATGTTCACTTCTTTTTTTCCCAAATGTGAGAAGAAAACTCCCTCCCTACAAATGGGAACCAGCAGTTCAGAGCTCTGCTCCCAGTTCTGCTTCTGTCTCAGGGGTGATTGGCTGAGCTCTGACACCATCGGAGGGAAAGAGAGGGTGGAGAAGGCACCTGGGACCCTGGTTCTGAGTCAGGGTGAACCGTGTCACTGACGACTTGATGATGCTCTTTCTCTTACTCTTCTCAAGGATTATAAACAAAAGTATGGACTTCCCACAGGGCAGGGAAGCCTGACTGCTCTTAGGACTGGAGAGGGAGGGGAGGGGGAGTGGAGAGAGTATAGGGGAAATGGAAGGAGGTGAAGGATTTTAATAAATAAATAAATAAATAAACTAAAAAAAATCCAAAAACAAATGCCGGCCAAGTGTGCTGGTTTGTGCCTTTAAGGTCAGCACTAAGGAGGGAGAGACAGGGAGGTAGTGTGAGTTTGAGCCAAGTCTGGTCTACATGGCAAGTTCTAGGCTAGCCAGAACTGTACAGTGTGACCCTGTCTGAAAACAAAAAAGCAAAAAACAAAATGCAAAACAGGTATGGCAGATTAGAGTGGCAGACTGTGGTCAACTCAGTGGTCATTCACGTCTTCTCTGTGGTACTTAATCCATCTCCATGTAGCAGGACATAAATTTCTCTTCAAACAGAAATTCTTTACTTTGGGATTTCTCCGAGTCCTGAAATCTAGGAGTTAATACCTTTAAGATTAGCTGGGCTATCCTAACCCCATAACAAATAAATTATTTAATAAAGAAAACCCTAGAAAGCTATTGTCTAATGCAGGGACCTGACTGTTCACAGTCACAGAAAGAGTGTGCAAGAACTTGCACAAAAATCAATGGAAAAAACATTCTCCCCATTTCTGGGTCCATGGGGGTCAAGCAGCGATTGTGGACAAACCCCCAAGGTCTATTACACCAGAAGCAAACTTTATTCCAGGAAATAAAATTAAAAAATAAAAAAATAAATTTCCATGGGCACAAAATGTTTATCAGGGAAGGACTTGTAAGGCTGTGGCAAAACACAGTTTCCAAACTCTCCCTTTATATAGCAAGAAGCAACAAGCATTAGGAAAGAACAAAGGAATTTTTACAATCTCGAGGTAAAACTCAGATACAAATTCTTTTTTAAAAAAAATTTTATTAACCTTGTTTTTCAGTTATACTGGTGTTAGTGTTTAGTCCATCCTTCTCTCTGGCACTGGCTGATGGTGTTTACCAAAGCTCTGCACTACCCTGACACTGCCCGTTTTGCATAGCACGAGAGGAATGGGAAAACGCACAACCAAAAAGTCACATACATGCCATCATTTAAACGTAAACTCAGCTCACTTCATTTGCTGGTCCTGAGTGGCCAGGGGTCATGAAGGCTGAACTTCAGCTTACAGAGGTCCCTCAGTTTGAAGAGGGTCACTTCAGTCTTGCAGATAGAGCTATGGATTCTATAGCAAAGTGACCAATGTTAACAGTTAATTCTTAAGGTGCTGAGAATGCTGTTGACAGCCTGCTCTCATTCTCCTAGGATTACAACTTTATATTTCCTTATTTCTACATTCTTATTTCTGGAACCTACATTTCTATATTCTTATTGTTGGACTCTTCACCAATCCCCCTCAGGGTCTCTGGACACGTGGGGTGAGTGGCCTCCTAGTGTGGAATCTACACGAATACCCTGAGTCCGGGGTCACTATGGGTGATCTGGGTAGAGGAAGATTCTGCTCTTTCCTGAGAGACCATATCTTACACCAAACATGAGATCTTGTGTCTTCATTCTGTGGGCCCTGTGAGCTGGCTGAGATCTCTGAGGGTAAACGACTCTCATTTGGTCCCCTCCACTGTTTATCCACAGAGCCAGTGACTACACCCACCATCAAAGCCACCAAATCTGAAGTCAAAGAACGAAACTCTGTGCACCTGACCTGCGACTTCAACTCCAGTGACTCTACAATTGCCTACCGCTGGTTCCACAATGGCAAGGGAATGGAATTCACAGACAGGGTATTCTTAATTCAAAACAGACTCCTCTCCATATCGCACGCCAGGAAGGAGGATTCTGGGGCGTATCAGTGTGAGATATACAATGCAGTCAGTTCCAAGAGGAGTGACCCATTCCAGTTGACCGTAAGACGTGAGTGACCTCCCCTCCATTCTTACTTCATAGTGTTGAGGGTGGGGCAATTTTTTATCAGCAATGTGCAAAATGTGTAAAATTCACCAGGAGAAAAACATGGCTCAAGATACAAACACAGCCAGCTTGGTGGTGGATGCATGTTAATCTCATGATAAAATAAGGCGTAAGCTGAGCACGGTGCTGCGTGCCTTTAACCCCAGCCAGCACACCAGAGCTAGAGACAGGTGATTGTCTATGAGTTCCCAACCTCCCTGGTCTTTGATTAGCAGAACCGGCCACTGTATGCTGAAGACTGACATTCCCACTCTGTCAGGGTGACTCTGCAAGTAAAACCCAGACTGGGGCCATTAAGCAACATCATGACATATGACCCTGAGGAATCCACAAGTAAACCCCAGGCTCTGGGACACTAATTTGCTCACAGGTATCTGAGCCTGTTTCAGGCAGTGGGCTTTAAACCAAAATCAAATTATTCCTCCTCACAGAGTCTTGGGCAGGAAGACAGAGGAGCAAGGACATCTAGAAGGTGGGGTTGGGACTGACAAGCACTTCAGAAGAAACAGAGCTGGGAAGGCAAGAAAATGAATGCTTGGAGTCTTTAGAGAAGGAGGTCAGAGAAGACATGCCTACACTCACCAAAGATTCTGAGTGTGACCCGGGATCTGAGGAACTGTGGGGTGCTCTGTGCAGATACCCGAGAAAACAGTTTCATTCAATAGAATACTCCAGGGGTACTGAGGAATGGGGGTAATGCTGCTGACCTCTTCAAAATACGACACACACACACACACACACACACACACACACACACTCAGATTTCAATTTCTACGAAATGCAAAGGTCCTAATAATGATGGTTTTTTTTTTTTTTTCTCTTAGCCTCTCTTACGATCCTCTGGAGCTCACGCACCAAGCCCGCAGTTACTGTGGAGGCAGTTCCACCCCATGTTGATGAAGGGAAGAGTGTTGTTCTACTTGTCCATGATATGCCAGAGAAAGTCAAATCCTTTTTCTGGTACAAGGGAAAAAATAGTATTGAGGAGAATAAAATTGCCCGATTTCTAAAATCTGATAGCACAGTTCAAAAAGGGCCTGCATACAGCGGCAGAGAGAAAATATACCAAAGTGGATCCCTGGTCTTCCGGAATGTCACTAAGATCGATGAAGGAGCCTATTTGCTACGTATGGAAACAGAAAACTTAAATTTTATGGCATATGTGCACATCCATGTGAACCCTAAGTAATTCTCTGTAACTGCTGGTGGAGGAAGCCATGCTGTTACCCCTGGGAATGACACATACATGTGTTGCAAATGGAGCTCTTTAGAGGCAAGGCCCTTTGGATAATCCCATCCATTTGTCAAAGACCTTCAGAAACAATACTTCAGATGTCTGCGCTGATCCCAGGGGTGCATGGGCTTCAGGCCTCTCTAACTTCCACTATGCTTATTTTTAGGGTGATTCTTAGTTCTGTTTTGTTAGTCGTGATTGTGCCTGAGTTTACTAGGAATTAAAGATTTTGCAGAAAAATTAAATTTCTCTGATGTGTTATGCAAACCAGTTTCACCTCTTGCTCCTGGCTGCCTTTGCAGTCATCCTGAGTGAGCAGGAGGAGCGTACTAAGGGTAATGATTATTGCTTATTCAGTCCCAAAAGTGATCAATATCCTACAAAGAACTTAGAACATGGTTTCTTAAAGGATGACATTAAAAACTTACAGAAACATATAAGGAAAAGATATAGGACACAAAAGGTCAGGCATTTCTTTTGTGCCAGGACATGAAAACTCAGATATTCTTCCAATATCAACTTATCGATAAAGGAATCTAAAACTCCCAGTTCCCTTAAGAGAAAAGTACACGTAGAAATTGTCAGGAAGTTTAGGAATTTTGTCCAGCAGTTAAAGCATTAGGTATTAATCATTACTATTTTCAGAACTTATAAAGATTAGAATTATAACTGTAGTCCACATAAAGGTGATACAGAGATTACTTAGAAACTGGCATACAGCTGAAAATGATATCCTAGGTGTGACAATACACTCAGCTGGTGACAAAGATATGAAAGTATCACAGTGTGAAGAGCTGGTCACAGGGCTTTAGTCTCTTAGTTTGTAATCAGATATTTACTCCCAGCTAGGGCACAGTATGAATAAGATGTGCCTGGCCAGATATAAACATTGGCTTGCACTATAATGATATGGGGCAAAGGTCAATGACGTCAAGGGAGTGGGAAGAAGAGAACCTGAAATGAATAAATGTTAATGATTCTAGGAGAGTGATTAAAGAGAAATGATTTGGAACTGCTCATGCTTGGAGGCATTAGGGCTTATAAAGATAAAGACTGCCTGAGCTAGATGGGAACATCAGGTAGAAAGACCAGTGGTCAGACCCTTCATTCTTTGCCAACTTCACAATCCGTCCTGGGGCACAGAATCCCACTGGACATGGACTCTGGCACTCATGGTCATGGGTGGAGTTATTTCTACTTCATGTAGGATAGTCAGTCCTGATGACTCTGTGTTATGGTCACTACATTGTGGTTCAAACATTTAGTAAAGCACACAGAGTGGGGGAAACAGCAATAAACCAGAATCCCTCAATTGAATCTACCCTCTGAGAGAGGGGGTGTGGTAATTCAGCCCAGGCATGTCAGACTCTGCCCAGGGTCTGTCTTAGAACATGGCCCTGAGAAAGACCCTTCAGGTCTCAGTAGGGCCTGGCTGACGAAACCATGAGATTTTCACAGAGACATGAAAACCTAAGCTTTGCCCAGACCTCCATCCCAGACCTGACCAGGAATCTTAAGAAACTTATGGACTAGGTTGGAATTTACCTCCTGTTGGAGCTCACAGGGGAAAATGATTGATTGTAGGCCCATAGCCTGCTGACCCTCAGCCTGTGAGAGCCATGTCTGAAGCAGATCACCTGGGCATCTCCTCCTGAGACTCAGCATGCTCAGAATAGGTGGAGGGGTATAAAGGCAACCAACCAGCTGTCCTGATGGTCTTCTGAGACCTCGTAGGAAGATGGAGAGCCCTAAAGAGATGGGAGGAAATTGTACAAATGGCAGGTCCTAGCCTCTGTGGGTCCTGCCCTGGGATTCTTTCCTGCAGGCAAGTAGTAAGAGGCATTGCTTTGTAGAAGGTTAGGTCATTGCTCACATTTAAGGTGAACTTGTATGCATGTGATGGAGGAAGGTCATTGGTTAATAAAGAAACTGCCTTTGCCCATTTGATAGGCCATCCCTTAGGTGGGTGGAGTAGACAGAACAGAATGCTGGGAAGAAGGGAAGTGAGGCAGAAGCTATTCCTCTCCTCTCAAGGACAGTCACAATGGAGCTTTAGCCCAAGATGGATCTAGGTTAGAATCTTTCCAGTAAGCCACCACCTTGTGGTGCCACACACATTAATAGAAATGGGTAATCAAGATGGGAGAATTAGCCAGTAAGAGGCTAGAGCTAATGGGCCAAGCAGTGTTTAAATGAATACAATTTGTGTGTTGTTATTAAGGGGCATAAGATAGCCAGGCGTGCAGAAGCCAGGCAGGATGAAAAGTAGGCTTGCAGCAGCTCCTTCTACAGGCACGGAAAAGGATCATTTACCCTGTGTCCTATTCTAGGGAAACTGAGACTGGAAACACAGTCACTGAGTCAGGGTCACATAGGTCATGGGTTGCACAAGCTATCAGGACTGCTTGTTTTTATGCTGTATGAACTGGACAGGTAGGACCCATGGAGAAATGACTGCTGAAATTGCCTAAAGGTGACACTGTCCTTCAGTGTTCCTGCTTCATGAAAGAGTGTGCTAGACTCTTCTAGGACACACAAAAATGTTACTAACAAACTGTCAATATAGGCTGAACTGTCTTTGAAATTTCCTGCTTCATGGGAAAGCCTGGTGGATACTATGGCCTGTGTGCTGATGATTAGATGCTCCAATGATGTCCAGGCAGCGAGTTGTCTCTGTTAATTCTAGAGTTTTTGAAGTTGCTTACAATTTACTTCTTGTTTACTTAGATAATATTATATCCTTCTGCATTCTTTGGTTAGTTGAAGAATTTATAGTTTTCTTTATTTATGATAATAGATAAAGTGGATACCAATATTGTAACTGTAATTTGTGCTTGATACCTGTTTTGTTATATGTAATTTTACTATGTAAAAGTTAAAACCTTCCTTTTTTATTTAAACAGAAAAGGGGAGGTGATGTGGGATTCCCCTCTGTATCTTGTAAATACCATTAATGAATAAAGAAATTGCTTTAGACCTATAACTGGGTAGAACTTTGCTAGGTGGGGAAAACTAAACTGAATGCTGGGAGGAAGAAGGCTGAGTCAGAGAGAAGCCATGGAGCCCTGCCAGAGACAGATGCTAGAACCTTGCTTGTAGGCCACGAGCCTCACGGTAAATATAAAATAATAAAAATGGATTAAATCAAGATGTAAAAGCTAGGTATTAAAAAGTTAGAACTAGCTATTTAGGACAGCGAGGGCCTGAGGAAACAAGCTCCACTAGAGGAGAAGCCAGGAGCAAATCCAGTTCTGGGAGACAACCTAGTCCCAAACTCTGGCAGATGAAGATTCAGCTAGTCACTAGATCTAGAGTCTGCAATATTACCAGAACACAGGGGTGTAACTATTGTGCAATTGAGCCAGAGTCAGAGACTGCTAGAGTCCAGATGTGAATCTGGGACCTTCAAGGGTGTAGACCTAAGCCAGGACCCTGGTGGGTCTGAGTGTGAGTCTAGGACCTTCGAGGAACTAGGTCTGAGCCAGGAACTCTGCCAGTATGGGTGTGAGTGAACTTGGGACATAAGAAAGAATAGGCAGGAACCAGAGATCTCAGCGGGGCCAAGTGTTAGTCTGGGACCTCTGAGGGAGTAAGCAGGTCCTCTGTGGGTCTAGTCTCACCTGAGCCTGGGACCTCTGAGGCAGTAGACCAGAGTAAGAAACATTTCCAGGTCCAACACCAAGTTAGGAACTTCTGTAACAGTATTTATAGAAACATGGAAAAACAGCCAACTTCGGCCAAGAATGCCTGAGACAGCAAACTCCAAGGGAGCAGAGAAATGCACAGGAGTGTTGAGCTATCTCCAGGAACATGGAGTAACCAACGGGGTAACTAAAACTGTGACACTGACTTACCACAAGGAAAAACCATCTGAGCTTTGGATTCACTGACACCTAGAAGATTATTCAACAGAATCTCAGAGTGCCCCAATCACTCGTATTAGAGAGAAAGATGAGTAGATGTAAGAACATGAAACACCACAAAAGAGCAATACAACACCAGTAAAACCTAAGGACCCTACAACAGCATGACCTGAATAACCAAATATGGATGAAACAAAAAAAAATTACCTAAAAAATAGATTAAAGAAAATGTTTGAACCTCTTAAAGAGTAAATGAGAAATTCTCTTAAATAAATAGAAGAAAAGACAAACAAAAAAATTGGAAGACATGAGCAAATCACCTTAGGAAAACCAAGAAAAAGAAGTCAAACATATGAAAGAAACTATTCAGGACTTGAAAACTAAAATAGAGACAATAAAGAAAATAAGAGCTAAGAGAATTTTAGAAACAGAAATCATAAGAAAATGATTAGGAACCACAAATGCACGCAGGAACAGCAGCATACAATAGATGGAAAGAAAATCTCAAGTGCTGAAGATACAATAGAGGAAATAGACTCATCAGTTAAAGAAAAGTTTAAATCTAACAAAAGTTTAACCCATAATATTCAAGAAATATGGAACACCATGGAAAGACCAAATCTAACAATAATAGGTTTAGAAGAAGGAGAAGTACAACTCCAAAGCACAGAAAATATATTTAACAAAACCATAGAAGAAAACTTTCCCAACCTAAAGAAAGATATGCCTATGAAGATGCAAGAAGCATACAGAACATCAAATAGACTAGATCAAAAAAAGTACTCTTGCCACATAATAATTAAAACACTAAACATACAGAGTAAAGAAAGAATATTAAGAGCTGAAAAGGAAAAAGGCCAAGTAACATATAGAGGTAGAGCTATCAAAATTACACCTGACTTTTCATTGGAAATAGTGAAAGCCATAAGGTCATGGTCAAGTGTTATACAGACATTAAGGGACCACGGATGCCAGTCCAGACTACTTTACGCAGAAAAACTTTCAATCACCATACAAGGATAAAGCAAGATATTCTATGACAAATCTAGATTTCACCAATACCTAGCCACAAACCCAGCCAGACACAAAAAT